CCACACACTTGTGTATTCCCACTGATATTCCCAAGCAGACACTCTTCTTGAAGCAACTGGATGTTGCTTCAAGAAGAGTGTCTGATGTAATACTCTGTGCCAAACCACATATTTTACTGTTAACCTCAAAGAAAATCTATTGAATAATGTTGCCATGACATTTTCTTAGACTTTGAATTTAGTTTGTGTGATATATAAATAAAATGTTGCTACTAATAGCACACAGTCAGTATTGGAAAATAAAAAGAAATCTCTAAAAGGGGATTTTATATTATATTTAAATTATAGTCTCTTATTAGTTTATGTCTTATTATTACAATATTTCTTTACAGACATAAACAACAAATGATTTCAAATTTAAATGCTCTCTTCACAAAGTTTTAAATGCTGATGAGAAAATTAAGAAACCAAAAGTATTACACACACACTCACAAACACAGGTCACTCCTAATGAGGAGTTTTGTCACGAACAGTGACGCACAGAGTGACGAAAAGGGGGAGCGGACAGCATGTGGGAGATAAGTGCTCGAGGCATATTTTAAAGACGTCACAGGTAGCAGCTACATTTGGATGGCTGACACTTGGAGTGAGGAGAAACTGTCCCAAAAAGCTACAACTGTGCTAAAGTCAGTCAATTGAAATTGCAATTTTTGTGCCATATTTGGTAAAACTGAAAATACTAATCTGAGGCACATTTCCTGGATTGATTTCCTGACGCAGTTTTATCTAGAGTTTTATAAACAACAACAAAATGTGTTCAGGGAATGAGTCTTGTACTTTGCCAAGTGCTAGAGATCAATAATGCTAATTATATTTCATCAGTTGTCTCTTATGTCCTCTTTAATATCTCATTATCTCTCTCTTTGAAGTGTCAAAAACACTCTTGTTTTTTATTGTCACATCTTTCTTTTTAACAATTGTTTAATATTTAATATTATTTGTTTTCTCCACCCTCTTACATTATATTAGGTATAGATTAAATTATGCTTTTTGGAATTATTGTTTTTTTTTTTTACAAATAAGAAAATTACTACATTATATAAAATTTCTGCTTTAAAAATCTCTCTCTAGTAATGTCTTTGTGCTAGAAAGATGCAATTGTGCTTTAGGTGCAACCACTTTTATGTTAACAATTTCTTAGCTCCCCATATAATTTGGATACATTTCCCCCACAATAGCTGAATGAATACACTGACACAGGACATGAAGACCTGATCACGGCTGATGACTCAAACTTTGTGTGATGGGTAGGGTTTTTTTTTGTTTTTGCTCTGCTAGAAGCCAGTTCCTGAACATGACGCTCACAGGAAATAAAGAGACAATCACATGAACATTCGGAAGAGGTTTGTGAAAGTGGAGGGCAATCACACGAGTGAGAATATAAATATCCACATTTAAAAATTATCAAATGACACTTCGAATTGATTGCAACCTTTTAAAAATTGAACAAAATGCATAATTACGGCATGGCATCTTCCCATGGGGTGATTATCCTGCTCGATTACAGCCAATCACAGACAAATTGCATTGTCGTGGTGAGGGTTTGTGCAAGCACCATCTGCTCACATAAAAGCATCAGACTTGCCTCTGGATTTTGTTTCAGTAATTTTGTCCACGTCACAGCTGAGAATATCACTGCAAATTAACTGTCTAGTTTGGTATTTTGGGAAATGGGCTGAGAGCAAGAGAAAAAGAGAGAGAGAAAGGGAGGAAAACCCTTAGAAAATACAGCTTCGGTATACACTTTTGTCCTTCCCAAGGTGAGAAAAATTTGCATTTCTGCTTGAGGGGATGTTGTATCTGTGTGTTTGGCTGATCCAGCAGGACCCAACTTGGGATCACCATGCGTCATAAAGACATAGTACACAGTCATTTCCCAAAAGGGAAACTCAGGTAAAAACTCGTGCTAGAGTATTTCAGTTTTATGCTCATTTAAACTCATTTGCTTGACCTGATTCAGTTTGTATGCATATTATATACAACTGCACTGCAATAAACTGCACTCCATCTGTGTAGTCTTCCTTTATGTCCTTAATGGGCCTGAACAGCTCTTTCAATTCAAAATTGGATAGAAATCGAAACAAATTAATCCAGTTGTGCCACAATAAAGAGTTAATAACTCCTCAGCTTTGTATTGTGAGCCTTTGGAGAGGTGTGGGTTCCTTGCAACCTTTAAAATTGTATATTAAGTATTTAACTTGAACAGCTATCATTAAATGCCTGATGCTTTTCACATATTTTAATAAAACGAATTACCTGTTTTCTTATGATACAGTTTTTGGTACAATAGTGCATTTACTATAATAGTAATTTTATACTGTAACAATTTACTGTTTTACTGGAGTTTGAATGCACTGTAAGCTTTACAGGATTATACAGTCGTGCAAGACAGTGGATCAGCATAAAATAAGTCACACAGGATAGATTTACATTTATTAAGTGCATTTACTTTTAACATGATGTCTTCAAGAATCTTTAGTAGGTTTAATTTGTGGCCATATAAGAAATTATTGAAAGACAACGCTGAAGTCAAATCTTGTTCAAAAGTGCACAAAATACCACACATGGCATATAGCAGTGAGACATTTATTCCTTTTACAGGGGAACACTTGACTAAATCACTGTGGACCTGCGTATTTTTCCACGACTCTAATTTTGTGCCAGGAAAAGGTATTTCCCCTTAGGGAATGGAGGCGAAACTGTTCATTGCATCCTTAAGATATTAAATAAACATATGACCTTTAAAACTTCCACACATCTGTTGGAACAAAATCTTGTAAGGATTTAGGAAAGTTTTTTTGATGACCACATTATCATTTTTAAGGAAAATACCTCTGAATTAATCAACAGTAAGTTATTCTATTCTTTCTTTTGCAGACTAAACTAAAAGAAAACCAATTACACATGTGAGATCAAGTGATTGTTTAACAGCTCCAGTCTGTACATTGTTACGTTTACATCCACAAATGACAATCCTATGCTCTGGGAAAACTACGACACAATTCAGCTACTGCTTAAAATGTGGATGGACATTGGGTTTTTTTGGACACCTATTTCTTTTTCTTCTGTTGCTCTTGGAAGAAGTCGTTGCAGGCAACAGTCAGAGCTGCCACCAACACAACAAACTCATTGAAATCCACCTCGTTGTCCTTGTTAGAGTCCAGGTCATTCATGATTTTCTCCACCAGCATGGGATCTTTCTGAGACTGAAAATAAAACACAAACAGATAGTGATTCAACAAATATGCAGCTGAACTGATTATGTCTTTGTGGCTCTTGTAATGCCTTGTAATGATTTTCCCATAAAACAAACTTGTTACCAATATTATCAACTTCTCGGCCAAATACCTTTAACACTTCTAAGCTTCCGGTAATAATGCATAAAATGTGACTGTTACTGGTGGTTGATATTGACTCAAAGCAAAGCCCCATGTCCGGTGGTGAGCAGAGTGATGCTGCCACTAAATGACCCGTGAGCCTCAGCTAATCAAATGTGACATTTATTACTTTGCTCATTTCCTCCATGACTGAGAAACAAGACGTTTTTTTTATTTGTCCTCTAACCTCCAAGGCACCAGTGATCTTTCTGTTGTGGCACTAAAGTCAGCATTTCTCAGAAGGTTAAAATTAAAATCCACACTGGGGGTTAATTTAAATTAGTTAAATATCACCACAGTAGTTTTGCATTTTCTAATGTAGTTTCAATTTAAATTTGGTCTGAAAAGCTCAAAGCTACGTTAAAATACAGAGTCACCTTGAGTGAGTCGACAGTAGGTATAAACATGAAAAATGCAAGACTACCAGCGGCATGTTTTATCAGTAAATAAATCTAACAATCCTAATCAAGAGCACACTTAATTTGAATTTTGCATTACTTTTTAAAATTCTATCAATTCTGTCAAGACAGAACATGTAGTAGTAAGTACTGTATCATGCTTTGGGTTTCAAGTGTCAAAGTTTCCTGTTGGCAGAAACTCAGGGTGAACGCCACTGTGTCTATTCTCAGAGGTGACTACAGCCCACAGGGATGTGATGACATCACGAGGGTGTCTATATTTGGAGGTGATATGGGTCACTGATGATGATGATGATGATGATGTGTGAGCACCTGAGGCCTCCCACCCACATGAAGGGGGACGGACAGTAACAAGAAAGATATCTGAAGGCATCAGGTTTTAGACCTTGGCTGTTTTGTTGATGCTGTGGTCTCAATCATTTGAAATTGCAGGCTTGTGCGCGCTGCTATCACACAGACTCAGGGGCAGGGATTTATCTCAAATGACCTTATCTATCTCTCTCCCCGCATCATTTATTTGCCATGGTGGTTTCATGCGAGAGCCACAAGCAGTTACACTTTGACAGCAAGAAAGCAATCAATGAAAAAACAATTCCCTCCAACAAGGTCAGGATGTTACATCATTTGAACACATCACTCTTAAGATTGACTTTTAAGTGAATAAGACTTCAAAGTGTTCAAGATCCATAAGCAAATTAATGCAATTACTATTGGTCATTATGGTTCAGTTAATGAAATGCACAGTCATACTTCAGTACACCAGCATGTTCCCATTAATTTAAATCCATGCAGGGATTGTGCTTCCTCTTGAAAATTCTGCATGACATCACATTTTTGTCTAAATGCCAAACAGATAAAACAAACAACAAAATAATCATTGCATTTAAACATCAGCCTTACCGTGAGGAAGTCGGTGAGCTCACTGTTCAAGAGTTCTTTCAGCTCGCCCTTGTTGAGCTTGTATTTATCTCCATCATGTCCCGAGTAATTGTAGAAAACTGTCATCAGTGCATCCATTGCACTCTCAAGCTGGCTTGGCATTTTGCTGGAGAGATTAAAGGCACACTTGCAGTTTCCTGAAAAATAATGTAAAACAAATAATACAAAAATACACATGCACACACACACATATGAAAAAGCATTACAACAACTATTAGCTCATAACAGTGGAGTTCCTACCTGGTTAGAGTCCTGCAAAAATGAGATCACAGACTCTTCTGAATCTGTTTATCAGGAAGTCAGAGGATGCAACGTGGGATAATTAATTCCACAGGTGAGACCCCCATGGCAACAGTTCTTTCCAGGTTTTAATCAGTGTAGCTAAGTGAAAAACAAACCATGTATCATGGGTATTCATCAAATCCTGAGCCAGACGTGAGCCTTGACGCATGTGTAACTTAATATATCCCTGAAGTGAGTTCAGTACTGTGCAATATACTTCATTAGAGATAGAATAGGTTAAAACTTGCCTACCTGCAAGGGCAGCATGGAGATACTACTTAGAGCAGGTGCTTTCTAATCATAACAATGATAAATGAACACGAAGCATTTTGTGGCTTTTATGCTTATTCTTTAAATATTCATTCATTCCTTTTATGGTAAATGGCCTGTATTTGTATAGCGCTTTTACTAGTCCCGCCTAGGGACCCCAAAGCGCTTTTACACGTCCAGTCATCCACCCATTCATTCTCACATTCACACACTGGTGGAGGCAAGCTACAGTTGTAGCCACAGCTGCCCTGGGGCAGACTGACAGAAGCGAGGCTGCCATATCGCGCCATCGGCCCTTCTGGCCAACACCAGTAGGCGGTAGGTGAAGTGTCTTGCCCAAGGACACAACGACCGAGACTGTCCGAGCCGGGGCTCGAACCGGCAACCTTCCGATTACAAGGCGAACTCCCAACTCTTGAGCCACGATCGCCACTTTTATTTATGCATTTGCATTTTCTAAGGCGTTAGGCATGGGTCTTTCAGCTGGATTAGCTATGAATGTTTACACAATGAAAAATACAACTTCTGCCCAGTTGCAACTAGACACACGTCGTTGTAAAATTTGCTAAAGTTTCTCAGCCTTTCTGGACATTGGTGTTTTTTTCATTCACTTTTAGTCTAGTCCTTGTGCTGACTGTCAGGACTAACCAAAAAAACCAGCTCAAGAGCAGAGACCAAGACAGGATTATAGCCGTAATAAATACTTTTATTGGCTAGAATGGTTTGAGGCTCCATTTCAGTCAGTGGTGTTTGAGATTTTGTCAAAATTGATAGAATTCTGAAGACATAAAAATAATCTCAGATTGTGTTCCACCATCTGAAAAAATTCAGAAGCAAGAACTTAATTTTGCAACATATCAGTCATACCAAATACACTGCCAATGCAGTAAAAGCATACCTGGATAGAAAAACACAAACTGGAAAACTATCCGTTATGGACTGATAGCACTGTGAAACCAAATGCATTTGAAACCAAATGCATGTTGACATGGAAAAAAAGGTTTGAGTGTCCTTCAAGAAGGCTATTCCTGAAGACTGCTTAAAGAAGAGTGTTAAAGAATAAAGTTGGCTATACCAGATATTGACTTCCAAGCTTTCAAGAACTGCAGAATTTTTTTTTTTTTTTTGCCTTATATACTGAATTTCCATGTGTGGAGAAGTTTATTAAATGAAAGTTGCATTGAGTGACTTTGCTGCTTTTCTTCTTGTTCTCTCAGGCTGACCTTGCGATTCAAATGTTTTGATGTTCTCGTTCTTGGGTTTATTTTTAGTAACTGCAGCTTTCATCCTTTGTCATTCTGCGTCCCTCTCATACACAGTCGCCCCTCCTCTGTCACCGTGTCATAACTGAGAGAGGAGAATAACACTCTATTCAGCTCCGAGCCCTCGTGACAACACCTGAGAGATGTTCGTTGTCAGGTGTCCCTGCAACTTCTCTCCCACTTGCAGCCACTGTCACAAAGAAAATGACTTTCCATTTGTTAAGGTGATGAAATTGTTTCCTTCACAGCTGCTGTTAGTAATGCTGTGCAGAAGGTGCCCTGTAAAGCCATAAACTGGCATTACATCAAACACTGCAATGTGTCTCATTACACAATTATCTTTCAATAAATACAAAATTCTTGCATTTTCCACAAGATGATCCATGTCTATCATGTACAACTAAACAGATGTAGAGTGAAGTTCTAAGCAACAGGCACTTTGATGAAATGATGCACATGATCACAATACTCATCACTATAGGTAATTAAATGATCATTTCATTACCCTATGATAAACCAGGAATATTGTTGCTATTTGAAAATGAATTTTAAGACACGCTCGTCTCCTGCTTGCTTGGCAGATGCTCTTCCTCTTTAGATCCCCTCATGTTCTCTCTCGTCATTTGCAGCAGCTTTAAGATCACTACAAAGAGAAAAGATGATGTGTCCATTTTGTTTACAGGTAAAATCTGACCTTTTTCATTGCAATACAGAAAACATGGCTTTAATATAATAACTGTTTTCAACACTAATAATGTCCGAAATTATGCATTTAAATAAAAGGCTATCATTAACATTCCCATTGAAGGGCGCCTAATATCTTTAATTGAGGAGATAGGAATTGAACTACGAATAGCTAAGATAAGAAGAAAATGTGTTCAACATCTTGTGGATCAATTCAGAATACATAAATTCGTTTATATATGTTATTAAATATTACTATATGCATTTTTGTTTTTGCACTGTATTTGTATTTGCATTTCAGCCAAAGCTATCACCCCCAAGTAACCATCAAAAATAATGTAGGTTTAAGATATAAAGTACTTACTGTAATTGCAGACATGCCAGTGGAGAGTCAACAAATTTTTGTTCTGTTTTATTGTCAGAAAGTATATGTAGTGTTATGTACTTTCAGTGTACCTGGGTCATTGACCCAGTGTGTTCAGTTTGGACTTTTGTCAGTTTAGTTTTATTTCCTGTGTCAGTGGTGTTCTCACCTGTTTCCAGTCATCATCATTATCCAGTCTATTTAAAGACTGGAAGAAAAAATATGTGTAAAAAGAAAAAAAAGAAAAAATATGTTGACTATGTACAAAAGTTAGAAAAAATATAAAACAGAAGGAAAGGCCCATCATCACTGACTAATATGTATGAAGTTATGACTCCATAACTCCATAACTGTGAATCGAGGTTGCGTTTAGAAGACAAGTTTGATTGAGAGAAAATAACTCATAAGGAATGAAGCAGAAATGCAGAAGAAAAATTGTTTAATTATTGAAAAGCAGATAAAAAGTAGGAAGAGCTGAAGCAACGTATGGCGTGGCGTGTGTCTCCAGAGAGATTAAAAGAGATCTCAAAATGCTAGTGGAAAAAATATTGTTGATCATTTTGAGAATAAAGTTGTAATTAAAGGATTAAAGTCAAAACAGTATTTTGGGAAAGAAGCTGAATTATGGTTTTGAGAAATTGTTTTTTAGAAGTTTTGAGATCACCATTGTTTCAAGAGCCATGTTTGCAATATCCTCTACAAAATGCCCTGTTTAGATGAGTGGCTGCATTGTAATCAGTTGTTGGGAAAATTACATCATGATTTTACTGTATACTTACAGAACTTTAAATATGTTAAATTCCTTTAAGCATCAAAGCAATCTGGGAACTTTCAGTGGTTTAAAAAAAAAAACTTTGAAAGAATTTCCGAAAGCCTGGAGTTCAACAAGAATTTGTTCAAGATCATCCGTCCATGCATTTTCATCAGCTTATTCAATTCGGCATCACAGGGGTGAAGGGTCTGTGCCAGCTATCACAGGGTGGGAGAACAGGCCGCCTATGTGTCACAGGAGCAGATTACTTTAGACCACTCAGCAGAAAGACGTAAACTCAAAATCACAGCTTTAATAGCTGTGATTAAATTTGAAGTAAACAAAACAATAAAAATACAAGACAGAAAGAAACTAATTGGTAAATGGAGATTCCTTAAGCTGGAAGCAGATTCCAGCTCACCCCTCCTGTGGAGCATCTGTAGTGCCTCCTGCACAAACTGATTCATCCTAGTTCTGGATCCTAAGTCCATTATCTTCACATCACAACCTGCCTGCCACTCTCCAGCATTGCCACTAACCTGCTCCCTGCAGGAAATAATGTACCCTTCTCGGAAGCCCCCATGGAAAAAGTAAGACTGTCATCCAATATAAATTCTGTTAATCAACGGCTTGGAACCATGTAAACGCTGTTTACATGCTATTAAAGATTCACTCCCACTAATTGTTGCATTTTGGCAAACATTTCAATGTTGTTTAGTACGGATATGTTGGAAGAGAAGAAAATACAAATTATATGAAAGTGATCCGTGGTGTTTTGTGCAAAGCTGGAAGACTTCACTTGTTCTTTACTGACTGATTTCTGACCAAAAATCTATCAGCTCACCATAAAATGCATGTTGAAATATGGTGTTTGTAGGAAACTCCTACAAATACTTATGAATTGCAACAATAACTTCTAAGATCTAAGTTTAGATACTAGTGTAAAACAATTCTTTAAAGTTGTAAAAGTTCAAGTACATCAACTTCTTTACTCAATGAAGAACCTAATTCAGACTTGCAGGGGACTGGAGCCTATTGTCATGGTTCGGGGTCCTTTTAACTTAGCATTTTGTGTTTCTCGTGTTTTTATGACCTGTTGTGAAATGAAACTAATTCATGCATTTATTAGTTCTAGGCTGGACTACTGTAATTCATTATTATCAGGAAGTGCTAAAACTCCCCGAAAAGCCTTTAGTTAATCCAAAATGCTGCAGCAAGAGTCCTGACAGGGACTAGAAAGAGAGAGCATATCTCTCCTGTTTTGGCTTCCTATCCAGAATTGAATTCAAAATCTTGCTCCTCACATACAAGGTCTTAAATAATCAGGCCCCATCTTATCTTAATGACCTTGTAGTACCATATCACCCTATTAGAGCACTTCGCTCTCTGACGGCCTACTTGTTGTTCCTAGAGTATTTAAAAGTAGAATGAGAGGGAGAGCCTTCAGTTTTCAGGCCCCTCTTCTGTGGAACCAGCTTCCAGTTTGGATTTTGGCTTTTTGCTAAAGCATGTAGTTTGGGCAGGATCAGGTGACCCTGAATCCTCCCTTAGTTATGCTGCAATAGAAATAGGCCATCCTGTTCATCTCCCCAAGTGTCTCTCCAGCTACATTTCCATGTTTTAGGTTGTTTAGTTTTATGTTTCTAGTTTCATGTTTAGCTGTCCCCAG